GGGACTGCGGCCGGCCGGGCGGCAGCCGCCCCAGTACTCACGGGCACTGTTGATGATCTGCCTCATGATGAGGAGCGTCCCCACACGGGTCCTCTCGTTGCTGCTCTCCAGCTTCGGGAGGAGGAAGGCCAGCACACGGTCAGGGCATGAGCAGGCTGCGGGAGCCAAATCAACTGTCACGGACGCACGTCATCCCGGGACGGCACACAGCCTAGAGATTCGGGATGCAGGCACCGCATCCCCTACACGGCGGCATCCCGCCCCGCATATCCCCACGTGCGACTGGGGGCTGCGTGCCTGCTGCACGTGCAGGGCTTTGCCTGCTGCATCAAACCGCGTGGAGTTTGGAAAGCGCCGCTCCTCTCCCGGCCGTGCGGGGCAGGCAGCTCCCCGGGGAAGCAGCCTGCTGCTGTGCCACCCGCGAGCCAGGCTAACCAGCCCATCCTGCTCTTCACATCCAGACCTGAGCTTTTCTCGGGCGCTTTCAGCAAATTTCCTGCGCTCTCTAGGGAGCTGAAGGAGTTTAAATTATACCTTCCAACAAGTGCTGCCCCGTCTGTCAAAACATTTTGATTGTTAAAAATAAAACCAGTCTATGGATGCTGAAATTGGAGCAACACCCGTGGGCATTTGAGAGGCGTGTTTGGGGAGGGATGGGCTGCTCCGAGGCAGGGTAGCCTGAAGATTGCTCAGGCAAAGGCAGCTGGGCTGCAGTTTTGCCTTCACAAACGCTAGCAAGAAAGGGACATCACCCAACCGTGACTCAGCAGCAGTTTGTCACACCACTGCTCTGTTTCTGGCAATTGCACACGTCTGTGCCACAGCCACTCGGTGAGGAGAGCCAAAACCGGGGGAGACAGGGCTCCAGCCAGAGCTCCATGCACAGGCTGGGAACGTATCAGCTGTAGGTCAGCCCACATCTCCTGCTCAGTCTGACCATAGGGGACCCTGCTGTGCTCTGAACGTTTGCAGTAACCCGGAATAACAACTGCATTAGCTGTACACAAGATACAGCAACAAGGAGTACGGATGAGCAGGGTACCCCCAAAGTCAAACTACATCTACTGCCCCTCACCACAGGCATGGCATCTGCAGACCCTGGCTCCTGGAGAGGTCTCAGTGGGCTGGTACAGCCCAAAAGGCTCTGAAGAAACCTTTGGAACCGAGGCGCCTTTGGGAAGGTCCCTGGAAGGGGATGATCAGGCCTGAGGCAGCAGTGAGCTCCAGGGGAGCGGAGCTGGCCCCATGCTCTTCCTCAAAGAGCTCCAGCAAGAGATGCTCTCCCTGGACGCCAGCCTTCAGGGACACGCAAAGCTTCTGCCCTCTGCAAGCCTGAAGCCATGGGCTGGAGCCAGGACAGAAACCACCACCCTCCCCTCCCTCGTGTCTCCCCACATGGCTAAGAGACATCCACGATATCCCCCAAGCCCAGCCGAGACCGGGGGGAACAAACCCCTCCATTCACCACGCACAACTCCTTGGAGAGGACCATGGAACACCAGGCGAAACCCCAGCCACAGCGCAGCACACCCACACCTCTCCCAGGAGTTTGACCTGCAGGTGCGGCAGGCGTCGGGACAGCCACGCCACGTCATCCCTTACCCAGGACAGTGAAGCACCGAAGAACCTCAGTGTGATTTTTAACAGTCAGGGGGACAGACGGATCTGCAGGAGCACAAATCTGTTGGAGAAACAGCTGCGGTCAGGGATGTTACCCAGAACAGGCGCTGGCAGGCTGCAGACCCAGCCCTGGAGAGGCAGAGCTGCGCTCGGCACAGGCGCGGCGCCGAGATTCGGGACAGACGAAGCCCTGGGCTGGTGGGTGACAGCATCCCACGACACGGATGCCCAGAGCAGTGCTTTCTGCCTGCTGCTGGCCGAGCAGAGCTCTGCCTGCGCTCGCAGCAGGTTAAGTCATCTCAGGGAGACCGCTTGGGAACGAGGTGCCTGCTCAGGAGCTGCGGGCTCCTCCGTTATCTAAACGTGCCCCACCACCCAGCTGGGACCACTGGCTGCCTCCTCTGGAACCTCTTCAAAATGAGTCAACCCTTCCGGGTGCTATTAAAATAATTCAGGCTCTTAATTCAATTTACGTTGCAGCAAGGACAACGTGCATCTGCTTACTCTGGTCTGCCAAAATGACACTTCGGTCTGCAACCGAGCCAGGGCTGCTGTGTGAGGCCAGCCACATCCCACAGCCCCAGAGCCACAGAGCTGCCGCTCTGCAGCCACGAGCAGCTTTTGCCTGTCGAAGCCCATCATCAAGAAGCAGTTCCTACAAACGGCACCGTTATTGTACTCGGTTGTTATGCATCACTTTGGTAAAGTGTGTATTTTAAAGGCCAGCCTCTCTGCTGAAGACTTCCCAAGACTCAGAGTCAGTTAAGTATTAAAAAGAAGCGTTCAGACCTGTTTTCAGCCCCAGGAGCATGATTTTAAGCGTTTAGTAATACAACAGACCTCGCACCCCTGTGGCTGAAGAACGGCTGAGGAGGAGCCCGGGCTCGGCAGCCTGAGAAGGGCTCCTGCACGCTGCTGCACGGTCACTGCTCCGTGGCGAGTCAATGCCCTCGCTTATTCTCAAAGAGCAAACTTTTTAAAAGGTCCATTGATTTTGAGGTGTTTGTTTTCAATCTGCTGCATAACTGTGCAGCCAGCGCTGCTCTCATTTCAGACAACTTGACTGTGCATGTGACTCCTTCAGTATATCGCATCCCAGAGCCCGAGGGCTGGCAACACCACTGGTGAGCAGCAGAGAAGCCGAGAGCCTCAGAGGGGCATGACCAGGGGACAGAAAAGCTGAGCAGGCAGCATGCCCCGATCTCAGGCTGATCCAGGGGAAGCCTCAAGCCCTGCAGACCGAGCTTATGGCCAGGCTCCAGCGTTATACCTCACAAGAAGCCCACCTTTCCCCCCAGCACCCTCCTGAGGGCGGCTGCTCTCCACCCAGCCCTTACCTGGGGGTGCAGGGTGCCCAGGAGAGAGTCCAGCTGCACATCAAGGCTGCGGCTGCCGATGTTGACAGAAGCTTCCAGGATCTGGCAGAGGCTCTGCTCAGCAAGAAACCAGGTCACAGTTAGCATCAGGAAAATGCTTGGGCTCCAGAGGAGGACAGAGGATCGCGGCCTCCGTGCTATGCCAGCCCCAGGGGACGGACTGCAGGCAAGAGCAGTGACCACGAACCCACCACGGCGGCAGTGAGCGGCATAACCCGTCTTCCACAGGGGGACACAGCTCAGGCGTTCCCGAGAGCTGCCTCTTCCCCCAGTGCCATTGCAGGAGGCCACAAAGAGGCAGGCTGGCTACTGCAAGCCACGGCTGGGTGCACGGTGAGAACCAGGCACACGGCACAGTGCCAGGAGACGGCAGCAGAGATGGGCTGCAGCCCACTCCATCCTCCCAGATCGTTGGGCACAGCCACCCAAGGCTTGGGCTCAGTAGCAAGAGGGATCACGATGCAGGGAGAGGGAATCTCGCATGGAAAAGGCAGTTGCAGCCCAGTCCAGCTGGGCGGAGGCAAGGCGCGAGCTGCATGACACCATCAGTAAGGTAAGGACTAAGATCATTTTGCTGCTGCCACTTTCCCATGCAACCGCACGCTGCTCTCTGGGATGGGCAGAGCCGCTGCTCGGCATCGCTCCTGCATTCACGGACGGCTGTCGGCACCGCCGAACCGCAGTCCAACCCGTAGCGGCAGGCAGAGGTACGCTACCCACCCTACGCCCCAGCAAGGCTCCCAGTGAATAGGACTGGGGACAGGTCCTCGGCCAGCGTCACCTGCCCTCGGAGCCGCTTACCTTGGATATGTAGAAGGCCTCCGTGTGCTTCTTGTAGAGGGCGAGGATGCCTGGAATCAGCTTAGGGAGCTGCTCCTCCAGCTTCTCACTGGGCATCAGGTAACTCATAGGTCCCATAGCCTCCACCACGGCCAGTCTCAGCTGCAGGGAGAGATCGTGCGTGTGGTCAAACCTGAACAGAGAGGTCTGCCACAGCATTGCTCCACTGCTACGGCGCTGCTCTTCCTGACGCTTCTGAGCCTCTGAGCAGAGGTGGGGACAGCATTTCGCCTGGCATTGCCAGTCTAATTGCAAGAGGTGCTCAGCAGAGAAGGGGGACGTCCGAAGATGTCATTCATGCAGGCAGAGGACAGAATCTGGCCGGCCATCTCCCAGCTCTGGCATATGCCCAGACTCTCCCCCAAAGGGCTGCAGAAGCACCCCATGCTCTGCTTTCCAGCAACGGGGAGCAAGCGACCCGTTCTGCACACGTTATGTATGGGACACGAGGACAGAGGGAACCGAGCAGAGCTGCAGAGCTCAAGGAGAAAAGCATCTAGCCCTAAATCGGAGCTGGGGGCTTACTCTTCTGGGGGCCACGTCCTTACAAGAGGGCACAGCGGAGACATTGCTTCCCTGTCCCCCCACATCCGCACCTTGGCTTCCCGGTGCTGCAGCCAGCTGTTGAAGAGCACTTCATACGCACTGAAGATCTCGTTTGAGAAGGTGTCCTTCCTGACCGTGGGGTCCGGGGCCTTGTCCAAGTTCGCCAAGTACTCCTGGATGCTCTCACTGAAGTGCTGCAGAGCTACGAGACAGATCGCGTAGTTAGATTTTCCAGGCGTACAAGACAGTGTTTGCTTTAGCCCCTCCAGAAAGCAGATGGCTGACGTGCTGTTTTACTGGGCAGCATCTCAAGGGATAGCAGATGCACCGGGACTCTCCCTGGCAGGCTGAGAGACTTCCTGAGAGGTGCCCTGGCTACCAGGGATCCTGGCAGGCATCCATGCCAGAGACACACGCTGCTTCCTGGGCCAGAGCCGATATAACCAACTCCAGAGACCCAACTCCGCTGACCCGTGGTAGCCTGGATTTGCCACACAGGTCATTTCTACGCATTCGTTAGCAACTAGGATGGCCAAGAATCACAGGCTGTGGTGCGGCCAGAGCACCACACCTCAACGAGTTCGTCTAGTCCCTGGGCCAGCAAGCGTTGCGTGTGAGCACATGTTATTTTTCCACTTGCGAATTGGACCGGTGACGAGAGCATGTTTGTGTAAAGGTACCTGTCCTGGCCCAGACACAAGGCTCAGCTAGAGACTGCTGACTGCAGGGGATACCCATCTTCCATCTCCCCCCCGAGGAAGCCTTCGCCACGGTTTTACAGGGTTTCCCAAGGCTTTACAGAGTTCCTGGGGCAGCCGAGGGATCACCTAACACCAGGAGCAGGTCTCAGCTGACAGCACCCGAGGGCTGCAAACACCCCCCTAGTTTTACTTGGGGAATTATCCAACAGGGGAGCACGCCAAAAGGGCTCCCAGCTTCAGGAGCTCCTGCACAGGGTGTTGCTCCAGATGCTCAGC